AAAAAAAAAAAAAAGAAAAGTTATTAATAGCTCTTGTGAAAAGCACCCAAATAAGATTTATTAAAGCAAAAAAGTTATTCCTCCTTTTGAAATTACATTAATTTTTGCAAAAACCGATTTCAAAAGCACATTTGTTTGCGCTTAAATTTCAAAAATAAAGTTATACCTAAATGATTCAAGTCGCCATACGATGGACTTGTTAGCTTCAGTGTGCGGAAACAGATTTCGTACAATGCTTCATTATCGATGCAGAACGTTTCATCCGTGTTCTCCACCAGCTGGTGGACCGATAACGTGGCATTGTATGGCTCCAGCACAACATCCGAAACCTGCAAAAAACTATCATACGCTACATGTGCAATTTGTAAATCGTTAACAAATAATAATGGGTAAAAACCATTTTCGGCCAAAGGCACATTATTTTCCATTATCTCAATTCGCTGAGACCCGACACACCCTCGAGAACCTTCAAAAACAGCAATTTCGTGTGCTTCAGCCTATGAGAAACGTTGCCGGTTTTGGCACAATGGTAACTGTGGGACAGATAAATGGTCCGAATCAATCAAAAAATCAAAAATCGTTTTAGGTTTCGATGAATAGTTATCAGCTCATACAAGACCTGGAATTTCAGGCCCACCCCCGCCCTTCTCCAACTCGCCAGCCAGAGATATTCACTGTTTGCATCTTTAAAATTTCTGAAACACTTGAAAGCCCGTTCTGTTTATTCTCCTAAAGGAATCCAGGGGAAAGGCAGCAAATATAAAAAAAGAACCTTAGGCGAGGGCACCACTGAAAACGAGCTCATAATACGGTCCGGGTACTCTTCGCGGATCTTCGAAACCAACAGTGTACCCATGCCTGAGCCTGTTCCTCCTCCAAGTGAATGCGTTAACTGGAATCCCTGAAAATAACAAGCAAATTGAGCACTCTTTAGTCACCTGCTAAATTTGATGGCGTTGAGTTAAGGCGTATATGACTTAATGGGCCGAAATGTCTTATCTCACTCTTATCTTCTATTCTCATACTGTTCTTTTACGCTATAATCCATCACCCCTTCGCCAACTGGGCTTACAGGATCAACCTGTTTGCTGTAGTCTGCTCAATCAGTAAAAAACTCGGCCCAGAAAAAAAGACGGTAAATCTCACCTGCAGGCAATCACAGCTTTCAGCTTCTTTTCTGATCACCTCCAGAACCACCTCGACTAATTCAGCGCCCTCTGTGTAATGCCCTTTGGCCCAGTTGTTGCCTGCACCGCTCTGACCATAAATAAAATTGTCCGGACGAAACAAATTTCCGTACGGGCTGTTGCGCACCGAATCCATTGTGCCCGGCTCGAGATCAACTAGGACCGTCCTCGGAACATATCGACCACCTAAATAATATGCAGTAAAGTGATGAGAAAGCTCGAAAAAAAGCTCCAAAAACCCCACTGCTAATCTCTCCAGCTGGGCTTGTGTGCTTGCTAGCGTAAATCATCGTAAATTTTGCATAAAGGAAAGCGAACAAATTTCGTTCAACCGTCGGTTTTTGATTAGTTATAACCCAAAAAAATAAATATTATTAACTCAATATAGCAGGTTCATTAGCACCAAATTGCAATGCTAACGGCACTTATAAGCTAAGTGCTATTATGTTAATGATAAATAGCAGCTGTTAGAAGGCCGAATCGTAAATTTAAAAGAAATGCACGGTGCAAAAAAATCAAAATGTGCTAAGACCGTACCCTATCCTGAGCGGGCAAATCGCCTTCTTGCTCTAACCAGTAGTGATCAAGCAAAAAACTAACCATATCAGCACGAAACAAAAAAAAAAAAACAAAAAATTCGCCAGCTCCGGCATTTTTTATCTCTCGGAATAGTTAAACACAGCAGCACTAACCTACTGCTTCGTTATAGTAAACACTAATTCGATCCAGTTGCAGTGGCGATTCGCCTTTGTACGAACCATCTGGCTGGATGCCATGCTCGTCTGAGATCACCTCCCAGAACTGCAACAAAATTTCATCAACATCACTGGAGATGACAAAAAGTGTTCGTACTCATTATTAGGTTTGGTTACGTGTTACAAAAAACTAGTAATCATGTACAAGCGTCCAGTTCAGTTTTTTATGCAAATTAAACTTCAAGTTTAGCGCAAAAACTTTTCGGCACTAGCTTAACATCTAGTTTTTTGCTAGGCCCCAGAAAACATCGCATTTTCCCTTCACAACTCCAAGCACTGCTTTTAGTTTCTAGCTCCAAACGATGTCTCAACTCTTTTTCTAGTCATGCCCCCTGCCCCCTTCATTTTCTCTGAGAATTAAGCCACAGCTCCCCCCTCCCCTCCTTCCTCCCTCCTATCCATCCCTAACTTAACCCCGCTATCCAAAAGGGCGCACTACAATTGCCTTGTAAATTGGCATTGGCATATATCTCGTAAATTGGTAGTACAACTACAGCTGTCGGAATTTGCTTAGAGCCGAGTTTTAGCAATTACCTTCGCTAATTCGTTTCGATGGTAAATTGGTACTGGCATATGTGACAAAAAATGAAAATCGCCATCAGTTTGCTTGTAAGCAATCCTCGAAAGAAACACCACCGACTGTCAACTGCGACCACTCGGGCTGCTTCTTGAGTCCGAGTGGTCGCAGTTGACAGTC